ATCTTTTAGGAACAATATCTGAATCTATGCCTCCAAGAATTTAGGCAGTTGTGAAGGCAAAAGAATGTCCAACCTCCTTTTAGTAAGCTGTACCTAATAAAGTGGCCGGTTAGTGTATATAACACTGTTCTAGTGGTTTTGGATAGTTTAATGAAAAAATCTGACTGGGTGCTTTTAAAACATTCACAATAGCAAACTAATCACCCAGCACAATCCAAGAGTCTGGGTTTCATCCATTTAACTTAGTTAAAAAGCCGCTTGCAACATGTCCCTAGTGCTATTTGAATATGAATGTAAATAGTTAAACTGCAGATGAATGTGACAGAGTGTTTCTGTGATGCTTCTGTGGTGTAGTATGGTTGTGTGACGAGCGAGAGGGGTTAGGGGACGTGTTGGTTTACTCAGATTTACAGCATTCTGTCCCCAGACTTCGTCTGAGCCACAAACCTGGACTCAAACTAGAGTTCGGTGCATTCAGCCAAAACCACAGCCATCACACAGACTGATGTGTTTGAGGAACACACCCAGGCCTACTCAGTTTCTCTAATTTCACACACATTCTGTGATGATGAATTATGATGATATCAGTGTTTAATCTCAGAAATGACCTTCGATTGCAGCTATGCACACTTTTTTTTTTCCTTTGCTTGTTTTTTATTTTTGTGGAGGGAAAGAAATCCCGTCATCTTTACTAAGGAATCCTGACTGTATTGGCATCAGCTCAGAAATGGACTGACGTCAAAACAGCGTGTGGTTTAATGAAACTCACCCATCAGGATAAATAAGCAGTGATTATTTGAGTGTGTCGGACTATGACGTGTCCACCGTAACCCAGCGTGAGTTCAGCGCATCCCTGAGATGTCTCATAATGATAACATACTAGATGCAATGACTCTGCTCTCTGTGTCATAAGGGCTTCTTTCTGCTTTCATTGTCAGCTTTAATTTGAGGGTATTTAGGAAGATGTAGGAATTAATACAGTTTTTATTTGTGCCTCCAGCATAATTATGGCTTTCAGCCTAATGATGGCTTGTTTGACTGATGGTGACAGCTCTTTGCATTTCATCTTCTAGGGTTGTAACAATATACCGGTATGACGGTTTACCACGATTTGAACGTGCACGATTATCATACCATGAACAATTGCATATCAATGGTTTTAACCCTTAAAGACCGAGACAGCCGCCCGCGGCTAAAAATAACTATTGCTCTTAAATGTTTAATAACTTTTGATCCGCTGATCCGATTCATACAATTCAAAGATTGGCATAAAGAAGAGAATCTCAGCTTTCCAGTGCTGTATCACATAACATTCGCGGACTTTCAGAGGCTCCGGAATCAGTGCGGTTACGTCATCAACATTTGACAACGCTGATTTGACAAAGAAACGCTCGTCACTGTGTCTCCGGACAAACCAGACATGATACATTGATGCATTGTCCCTCCTCCATGCCCAGATTGGTTCAAACTCGCTATATCACAACCAATAAGCATAGGTTTCGCTTTTGTTTGTGGACCAAGCTTTTTGAACAACACGGAATGAGAGAAAGGCATACATTTCTGCGCGGCTAAATAAAACGCAAAAAAAAAAAGTTTTGCATGAAATAATTCTCATACTAAGTACTTTTGCATGCACAGCAGCACAGAAACATGACAAAACAGTGACACAGCAAAGACGAACTGCTGCTCTTGCTGTTTTCAAAAGACGCAAATGAAGGTGCAGCTGTTTGTCTGCATTGCAGACAACCAAATCCAAATCCATGCTGGCACATAGAACCTAAGGATGTTCCATATTGAATCTAGTTTCGTTATGTAACTATTTATAGTATAGTAAATATTTAAATCTATTTTTTACTGAGGATTTGCACCATGTTTATTTGGACTTTATTTGGACTTTGACACATTATTTATTATTTTCTTATTTTTTTATTTGTTCATTGTAAGTGGTGTTGTTTATAGTAACTAAAAATATATTATTTGGAAAAAGTCAAATTTGCTTCACTGTTCTATTATTTTGTAACATTTGTAACATACCGTATACTGCGAAACCGTCAAACCGTGGTATTGTTTTAGACGATTATCATACCGTGAAAAATTCATACCGTTACAACCCTAGTTGACAGCAACAGATTCCAAATGTGAAGAGCACACATAAAATGAACGCTGTACCTATTCTACTCTCATTATAATTGGGATAATGAGGGAATAACAAACACCTGGTCATGGAACAGCTGAGAAGCCAATTGTCCAATGAATTTTGGTCCCTTAACAAGTGGGAAGCACATATGCAAACTGTTGTAAATCCTACACCGTTCACCTGATTTGGATGTAGCTTGAAACAAATGGAAAATGAGGGGATTGTGCTGCGTTTCTATGGAGATCCCAGAATACCTGCCATTACCGCCCATTGTTTTTTTGCCCACCAGGTCTCCACACAGGTCAGGTGACTAAAAACTAATCAACAGATAATTTTACATAAAGCCTTTGGCTGCGTCCGAAATCGCCTACTACTCAGTAGGTGCTGCATTTGAATTTAAACGTACTACTCTGCCGTTAGAAAAGTACGTTCTATACAGTATGAATGTGAAAAGTATGAATGGAATTCGGACGTACTACATCCGATATTTTGTCGTGGTCACGTGACCTACCTGGGTCAGTTGCGTCGCTTTACTCTTACTCATAAATTCGCTTGCGGGGCATCATGGGATAGCGCAGCATGCATGGAATGCGCACACTCCAGAATCTCGCCGGAAGTAGTAAGTCATTCGGGAACTTCTCGCATACTGATTTTTGAATTCCATGAATTCGGACATTCTACTCGGCTCGCATACTGATTTTAGTGTCCTATATAGTATGGAAGTATGCGGTTTCGGATGCAGCCTTTGTCTTCTGTGTTTAACATGCCTGATTCAGCTAGTTATGAGAGCTCCATGAAGGAAGTGTTCCAGTTGACATGTTTCCTACATAGTGCTCACTGCTCTCTACCCCCGGTACATTTTTGCGTTACACTGTTTGTAGTTTCTTCAGATGAATGTTATTAGAGAAGGTTTATTTAATCATAATAAGGAAAATTGTATGGAGACAGATAAGACTCAAAAGTAATTCACGCAAAAGACACGATTTACTCATGCGTAGCCAAATTCACGTGCATAAAACCAAATTCACATGCGTAAAATATTTATTTACATTCACAAAAAAATTTCATGTGCTCAAAATAAAAATACATTTTCATAAAATACGTTTCACAAATGCAAAACACCACTTGCAAATGTGTAAGAGTGTACAAAAACTTTTGAATGTTTAAAACTTGCGAGTTCATCCTGAATGAGAATGTGCTAATCCTCTTTCACGTACAACTCCCCCTGGATACGTGTGTGTGTATTTTTGAGACTTTCCTGCCAGAGGCAGGGTAACTCGTACCTTTCAGCCAATCAGAGGAGAGCTGTAGTCAAGGACACCCACTCTGCGCTCTATCTGCGCTCTACTCCTTGAGCCCTGGAGTTTCAAGCCTTAGACCGGCCCACCTCAGTTCACGACTGACTATATTAAAATAAAGTCATTTCCAATTCAGTTTCTAATGACACTATCACGTCTTTTTCAAGAAAACAGCTGCTTTAGAACTTCAAATGTTCAACAACCTTACAGTTTTGTATGTCTTAACAATAAAAATGAAAAAAAAAAAACACTAACTCAGGTGAGGATCGAACAGAGGTCAACGGCGTGGCAATCCAACGAGCTGACCGCTGGACCACAACGGCACTGTTAAGGCTTGCATGGCTGGAATAATACTTAATCCTCATCATTACCCTGCAGGTTAAAGTTTACTCATGGGGCTGCGAGACAATAAATTTGAAGAGCGGAGCTGCGGCAAAATAATGGATAAAAAGAGTGAGGCTATGGTCAAATAAATAAATAAATGAAAAAAAGTTTGACTGCTGCTTTCTCCGTTCGCCATGCTGAACAGAAACAGTCTGCGCAAATAGAGCGCAGAGTGGGTGTCCTTGACTACAGCTCTCCTCTGATTGGCTGAAAGGTACGAGTTACCCTGCCTCTGGCAGGAAAGTCTCAAAAATACACACACACGTATCCAGGGGGAGTTGTACGTGAAAGAGGATTAGCACATTCTCATTCAGGATGAACTCGCAAGTTTTAAACATTCAAAACTTTTTGTACACTCTTACACATTTGCAAGTGGTGTTTTGCATTTGTGAAACGTATTTTATGAAAATGTATTTTTATTTTGAGCACGTGAAATTTTTTTGTGAATGTAAATAAATATTTTACGCATGTGAATTTGGTTTTATGCACATGAATTTGGCTACGCATGAGTAAATCGTGTCTTTTGCGTGAATTACTTTTGAGTCTTATCTGTCTCCATACAATTGCAGTAAAATTAGATCTCATAATACCCTTTAAATTCAGACATACACAGATACACTATTTTTCCATTACGAACTTGAGACATGCTATCAATGTCTAATAACTCATTGTCTAACTCCAATGTTGCATACTTAAAAATATGTCCAGTATATGTGAATTGTTTGTTTTGTATGTCATACCATCGACATAAAAAGAAAAAACCCTGATACATTTTGATGCTCTAGATTCTTTAGGTTGTAAAGATGTAATGAAACACCTCTTACGCAACCCACCCGGCATTACTTAAGAGCTCATTTTTTATTATTACAGCAATTATGTGGAGATGTTTGCTGTGAAGGTTAAAACGAGCTGTTTATTTTCTCCGATGATAGTTTTAGGTGTTGCCACTGTCGTTATCCTGTTATGGTGCCTGGAATCCATCTGCTTTTATTCCTCTTTGTCCTGAGCGTGCGTTTTATAGGAGGTTCGTGTAGGGCAGGGCGACCCGCCGTCTCAATATTACAAACACATTTTTAATAATAACATTATGTAACCCGGCTTATGAGAATACTGCAAGTTACAATGTACTTTGAGTTCTCTGTTGTGTGCCTGTTACGATGCGAAGCGTCTCTTTTTCACAGGTTGACTCATATGAATGTGGTTGCGGCGAGAGATGTTCCTGAAGAGCTCCAGAAACTGGCCACAAATGACCTGCCATTGCTGGCCATGGAGTTCTGCCAGGGAGGAGACCTACGCAAGGTGGGGCACGTACAACAAAATGGCCAAATATCCAATAGTGATGCCAAGGACGCTGTAAATTATGAGTGTGAGTTCTTTAGGAACGTCACGATCTAATTCTAGGGGGCACGATCCGATTCCAAAACGATTCTTCACCTGCATTTTTCCTATGTTTTCTGCTGTAAATTTACAGCTTTACATTTTAACCAGTATTAGAGTTTCTTAGCTTTTGTTTAATGATGCATAGTGCCAAATTTCTGTCTAAGTATTTATTTTATTAAAGTATTACAAGCTTTGAATAAAAAAAAAACAGATTACAAAGAACAATTATGTGGAACAAACAAATGCGAAAACAACCACTCTGGATGTACTTTATCCTTCTAATTTCATGTAACAACTCTTTAATTATATGCAAGGCTGAAAGAAATGAAAACAACTGATGGATTATACACTAACATGTGCATTATTCAGACAAAAGATGGCGCCACATAGTCAAAAATACAAAGCTGACAAAGGAAAACAGCTGATAGAGTATACACTAGCCTGCGCATTATTCAGACACAAGATGACGCCAAACAATCAAAAACACAAAGCTGACAGAACCTAAAACAGCTGGAGTATACACTAATCTGCGCATTATTCAGACATAAGATGACGCCAAACAGTCAAAAACACAACAGAAACTAAAACAGCTGATGGAGTATACACTAACCTGCGCATTATTCAGACATAAGATGGCGCCAAACAGTCAAAAACACAAAGCTGACAGAAACGAAAACAGCTGGAGTATACACTAACCTGCGCATTATTCAGACACAAGATGACGCCAAACAATCAAAAACACAAAGCTGACAGAACCTAAAACAGCTGGAGTATACACTAATCTGCGCATTATTCAGACATAAGATGACGCCAAACAGTCAAAAACACAAAGCTGACAGAAACAAAAACAGCTGATGGAGTATACACTAACCTGAGCATTATTCAGACACAAGATGGCGCCAAACAGTCAAAAACACAAAGCTGACAGAAACGAAAACAGCTGGAGTATACACTAATCTGCGCATTATTCGGACACAAGATGGAGCCAAACAATCAAAAACACAAAGCTGACAGAAACGAAAACAGCTGGAGTATACACTAACCTGCGCATTATTCGGTGTTACAAACCCCTGATGTTAGTCTAGGGTGTGGGGTTTGACATTTATTTAATTAAAATATATTTATATAAATAGTGAATGAGTGAGAAGACAACCAAAGTAATGCCAAAAAATGTGTGCTTTTATTTACAATCCCAAAGTGAACAACAACAACGAATTAATCAAAAATAAAGAAAAAGTAAGTAAAGCAAAAATATACTATTTACAATATGTACAACACTGAAACAAATAAAGACGGGAAAAACAAGAGAGCTGGCAGAAGGGACGCGGGCGGCGCTAAAGAAATGAAAAGAACAAAACCCAAACTAAATCTAACTTCCCAGAAGCATCTAGCTAACTAACTATGTGAAAAACAGTATAATTAACACACGAAGATCTTCCGAGTCCTAACTATCTACTCTATCTATCTATCCAAAAAGTACAAGGAGTGGCGCTCGCCCCTAACCTAGTGTACTAGACAGCAGAGCAGTCCTGAGTGTTGCGAAATGTATGTCACGTGACCTTCTTACCTGTCCGCTTCGTCCAAGCCTCGTAAACAACGATAAACTAAGAACAATGTACGAATAACGGACTGATAACGTGCACACAGAAACAAGCAACAACAAAACACAGTTAGACGGGGTAATTTCTAAACGCACGCGGTAAATACAAACAAGCGACAAACAGCAAAAGAGAAAATGCAAGCAAGAGAGCAAGAAAACAAGAAAGAGCGAGTGGTCTGGCGCGCGCTTTTAACACGGGAGGTCTTTGCTTATTGGATGTGACGTAAGAGTGACGTAACCGGGGAGGAATGACTGACAGCTGAATGGACCAATGAACAGAACCTGAGAATACATGAGAGCAGATACGGGAGAACAGAGCGAGAGAGAGAGAGAGAGAGAGAGGGAAAAAACACAGAGAAAACAGAGCACAAAAAACACAAATACATAACACTCCCACCCATGAGAACAAACATATAATATTGTTTGTTTAAAAAAAAATTGTGAAATAGTAAGAAAAAAAAACTCGCAAAACAAACCATGCGGTTTAATTACGACCAACTACACACACCTGGAAAGAGCATCGGCCACTATATTGTCGGTGCCTTTCTTGTGACGGATTTCCAGGTTGTAATTCTGTACAATCAAAGCCCAGCGCATGAGGCGCTGATTTTGATTGTACATACGGGAGAGAAAAACTAACGGATTGTGATCGGTGTAAACAATGATTGGAAACGAACTGGAACCAAGGTAAACTTCAAAGTATTGTAATGCCAATAGTAATGCAAGTGCTTCTTTTTCGATAGTGGAGTAATTAATTTGGTGTTTGTTGAATTTTCTGGAAAAATAACAGACTGGGTGCTCGATGCCATCACGGTCCTCCTGAATAAGTACCGCGCCAGCACCTAAAGCACTCGCGTCTACTTCCAGTTTAAAAGGAGTGGTGAAATCTGGGGCCGCGAGGACAGGAGCGCAGCAGAGCAAAGCTTTTATGCTCTCAAAAGCATGCTGACACTCAGCTGACCAAACAAATTGCTGAGAAGGACTAAGTAAATTCGTTAGGGGTGAAACCACACTGGAAAAGTTTCGGCAGAAACTCCGATAGTACCCCGACATACCCAAAAACCGGCGCAACTCTCGCCTGGTTTTAGGTACGGGAAATTCGGCTATGGCGGAGACTTTCGCAGCGACTGGCCGAACTTGACCTTGACCAACTTCCTTACCAAGGTATGTGACGGTCGCCCTAGCAAATTCACATTTTGCCAGATTTAATGTTAATGTGGCGTTGGACAGTTTTTCAAAAACAGTGTGCAGCAAAGAAATGTGTTCAGACCATTCAGATGAATAAACCACTAAGTCATCCAAATATGCGTTACAATTTGGAACGCCGACTAAAACCGTATTAATTAATCTTTGAAATGTGGCAGGTGCGTTTCGCAATCCGAAGGCCATAACTGAATATTGCATGAAGTGATCTGGTGTAACGAAGGCTGAGATAGCAGAAGCTTGCGGAGTTAATTTAATTTGCCAGTAGCCCTTTAACAAATCAAGTTTGGTGACAAAACTAGCTGAACCAAGGTTGTCAATACAATCTTCCATACGGGGTAAAGGGTAGCAATCTGGGACAGTGACAGCATTAACCTTACGGTAATCTGTGCAGAATCTAAATGTTCCGTCTGGTTTGGGTACCAGAACGCACGGTGAACTCCATGGACTGCAACTAGGAACTGCAAGACCATTTTCCATCAAATATTCAACCTCCTTCCTCATAATAGCACGCTTGTGTGCGTTCACACGGTAAGGATGTTGCTTTATTGGGGAAGAATTTTGAATATTGATGTCATGTTTAATTACGGATGTTTGCGTTGGAGTGTCACTGAAAAGATTGGGGAATTTCTGAATTAAATGAATGATATCTTGCCTTTGTGAATCTGATAAATACGTGAGATGTGAATTCAGATTTTTCAGCATCTCTGAATTAGTTAAACGAGCGCACTGCTGAGGAGCATTGCGTAACACCAGGCCATCATCATCAGCTTCAGAATGCGTAACATCGCTCACAACTGCAACAGCAGGAAGAACAGGTGTGGTGATCTGAGTTTTCTCTTTAACATGGTACGTTTTTAACATGTTAACATGACATACGCGCGATTTGCGTTTTCTATCAGGTGTTTCAATTACGTAATCTGTCTCGCTTAACTTTTTCTGCACCACATAGGGTCCAGAAAAGCGGGCAGAGAGAGCAGAACCAGGCATTGGCAACAGTACGAGCACCTGATCGCCGGGCTGAAAAGAGCGCGCGACTGCTCGGGTGTCATACTGATGCTTCATGACATTTTGCGCAGCTTTAAGTGATTCTTTTGCCAATTTACAGGCATCATGTAAACGTTCTCTGAAACGGCTTACATAACTAAGAACATTCATTTTTGGACTTTCCTTAATTTCCAAAATGTTCTCTTTCAGAAGTTTAAGAGGAGTTCGCAAATCGTGACCGAATACAAGCTGAGCGGGGCTAAACCCGAGAGACTCTTGAATAGTTTCTCTCACCGCTAATAGTACCAATGGAACGCCCTCATCCCAGTCTTTGCAGGTATCCGCACAGTATTTCTTTAACATAGACTTGAGCGTCTGGTGAAATCGCTCGAGAGCACCTTGACTTTGTGGGTGATAAGCACTTGATACTCGGTGGGTGATAGACAATGATTTTAGAACTTGAGCAAACATTTTTGACATAAAATTTGATCCTTGGTCAGTTTGTATGATTTTTGGTAAGCCGAATGTGGAGAAAAATTTAATCAATGATTTGATTATAAGAGGAGCTGTAATTCTGCGGAGCGGTATTGCCTCGGGAAATCGAGTAGCAGTACACATTATTGTAAGTAAAAACTGATTACCTGTTTTGGTTTTAGGTAATGGACCCACACAATCAATAATTACATGTTCAAATGGCTCTCCTATGACTGGGATGGGAAAGAGAGGAGCAGGTGGAATTACCTGGTTTGGCTTTCCCCATGCATTGGCACGTATGGCAGGTGCGACAAAACTGCACGACGTCCTTCTTTAAACAAGGCCAAAAGAAATGTTTAAGTATCCGATTGTATGTTTTCGTGATACCTAAATGACCTGACATCACATGATCGTGTGCTAGACATAATACATGTTGGCGGTAAGCGGAGGGAACGACAATTTGATAGACATTATTCCAATCAGCATCAGTCTCAATATTAGAGCACCACTTGCGCATCAACAAGCCATTTTCGACGAAATACGCAATTTGCTTTTTATCAATCTGATCTGAATCAACAACGGAGTCGAAGCACTTTACCAAAGAATCATCATCTTTCTGCGCAGCAATAATCTGCTGACGAGTAACGGGCAAACTCAGAGCATCACCATCAAAATTAAAATATTCTGATTTTTCCTGTTGTTTCTGTGTAGCTTTTTTTTCTGGAGGAGAAACTACATTCTCAGAAAATACTGGCGCAATAAAAGAGTCTGATAAATCAACTGAATCATCTTTCCGTGACATGGCGCGCGTCATTACGCATGCTGGGAAAGTATCTGGGTGATTTACTGATAATTCGTCTGGACAATAGGTAAGATTGGGGTGATCAGTAACTTCTAAAATAGGCATTACTTTACCACCGGCCAAATCATTACCTAGAATAAATGAAACTCCTTTAACAGGAAGAGAAGGACGAATGCCGACTGACACAAACCCAGTGAATAAATCGCACTGTAAATGAACGCGATATAGTGGCACATTTACAAAACCCATCTCAATGCCTTGGACTAAAATATTTAGATCCACAAGATGAGTGTTCAGGCAGAGATAATGCATNTTCTACCATAAACGAGTGAGAAGCGCCTGTATCACGCAGCAGTACAATCTCACACTGATCTTCAGGGTTGCCAGATAATGAAATTAGACCCCTGAGCAAGAATGGTGTGTAGCTCGGATCAGTGCTCTCATCATTGCTGTTAGTTAAAATAGATTTTGCAAAACCAACACTTTTAGATGGCTGTTGCGGATTTTTTCGCTTCAGCGTGGAACATTCAGATAATTTGTGCCCTTTCTTATGGCAGTAGTAACACTCTATTGCCTCTTTAGGTCGGGAAGTAGCAGTCGGAATACGTGGAAAATTCACAGACTGAACAGTGGGATTTT